AGATGTTGGATGCTGCAGATGTTGGATGCTGCAGATGTTGGATGCTGTCTATCATGGTGCACTAAGATTCATAACTGGCTGTGATTATCGTACCCACCACTGCACCCAGTATTCACTGGTTAACTGGACATCATTAACTTCACGCAGACTCTCTCACTGGTACATTTTCATCTTTAAATCACTTCTTGGTCTGCTGCCTTCATACATCTCCTCCTACATGTCTCTGCATGAGTGCAGCTACAGCGTGCGCTCTCAGGACATTATTACCTGCAGTGTTCCCTCAGTGCGGACTGAACTAGGCAAAAGGACCTTCTCCTACTCCGCTCCTGTTTCCTGGAATATCTTACAAAAAGATTTGAAGCTCTCGACCTTGACCTCTCTAAGTGTCTTTAAGAATCTGTTGGACTCCTGGCAGGGACCAATGCAGACATGTTCCTGTTTTTAGTTTTCTACGTTCGCCTTAGAATCTAGCTGTTTTTTGTTACATTTTTCTTTTAGCCATCCTATTTGTAAAAAAAATAAAAAACTGGAGTATGACTTTTTATAACCGTTTATTGTTGTTGCTGTTGTCCATTGTTGTCATCTTTCTTTGTTGACATCAGGTCTCTCTTGTAAACGAGTCCTCGAGGCTCAATGGGACTAACATGTCTAAATAAAGGTTGAATGAATTTTAAATAAACAATCCATGCCACTTGTATGGCTCATCCATCAGTCAGCCAATTGTGTGTCATGTCCAATCTTACTTTGAAAAACCGCAGGAGCGAGTCCGCGAAAGTCAAACTGCGAAGTAGCGAGGGACTACTGTGTGTGTTGTCTCAATATTGATATTAATATTAATCAGTATTAGTAATTATCTGTTACTTATTGTCTTCATTGCAACTCAACAATTTGTGTCACAACCTAAAATAAAGGCGTAGCATTCCTTGAAGGGATGCACATCACCTCTTTCCTTTCATGCCAGAGTTTTAAAGACCATCTTATGATCAGAGGGGATGGATGGAGGTGGAGTCTTGTTTTGATCTAATCTTCAAATAATGTTATGCAAAATGATTGTGAGGTTTTTAAAGATGTCGTATCGCTCAGAGTACGCAGAGTAAATGACTCTGATCCACCAAACGTAGATGAATATCAGTAAATGTACCTACATCACAGACATGTGTTGCTGCTTCAGGTTGATGAGATGTAGCAGCTAGCTTAAATAAGCTAATGAAGTGTGTCCCATGATTATTTCTGAACATTTCATTAACGTTTCTTCAGTGTTTCATGAAATATTTTGCTAAAAGACAAACAAGCAAAACCACACTGCAGCTTTGCCTTCAGTGACGATGAGAACTGAAGAATAAAATGCACGTGCAGGTGTAACAAGCACACACTTGGTGTGTGAAATTAACAACGTGTCCTCACCTATACCAAAGTGCTCGTTCCACATGGTGTGCAGCCCGATGGTGGCATTCACCAGCTCCCTCTTGAGCTCCTCAAACGGGATGTTGAGTTTAAAGTCGACGCGGTCTGACAGCCCGAGTTCCTGACAGAGTCCTCGCAGCATCAGAACCCTCTCCTCATCTTCCTGGTTCCTGCAGCCACCGATCAGGATCAGCCGCAGAGACTCCCGGCCCCCAGGCCCCTCCCCTTTTCTGTCTAGGAGTTTGTGAAATGCTCCAATCTGCAGTTTGTGGTCTTTCTCCGGCCTGAACTGACCCACAGACACGATGGAATGGCACTTCCTGTCTCCACCTCCGCCTTCCTCTTCCCTGCCCAGCTCTCGTCCGAGCTCCTCCCAGCCTTCATCCACCTCGTCTTCATCCTCCTCCTCAAGCGGGATGTCGAGGAAGGCTTGGACATCGCAGGGTGGGTAGACGATGCTGGTGCAGCTCGGGGAGCGCCACAGAGCCAGGATGTGTCCCAGCGTCCAGGTGGAGTTCACCATGATGACGTCACTGCAGGAGCCGGCGAGGCCATAGAGCAGAGCAAAGCAGCAGTAGTACAGAACCTTCACAGCACTCAGGACCGGGTTTTTGGAGATGAAATCAGCATTGTTGAATCTGAAATGATGGAAAAAACATCTGAAGGTTAAAGCAAACTCCCAAAAGATGTGGAAAGGAGGTGTATAGTTACTCTACAAAACACTCAGATTATTGAATGGATGCAAAGTACAGTGAGGAACATCAGTATTTGAACTCCTGCGACTTTAAAAGTTCTCCCACTGAGAAATCAAGGAGGGTCTGGAATGTTCATCTTAGGTGCATGTCCACTGTGAGAGACATAATCCAAAGAAATAATCCAGAAATCACAATGTATGATTTATTTATCATTTATTTGTGTGTTACTGCTGCAAATAAGTATTTGAACACCTGTCAATCAGCAACAGTTCTGGTCCTCAAAGACCTGATAGTCCATCTCTTCTTCTTCTTCATGGGATTTTATGGCGGTTGGCAAACAACAGAAGGTGTGCATTACCGCCACCTACTGGTGTGGAGTGTGGATCAAAACAGCTTTGTCTGTATGTTTACATTCTCTTATCTAATTTTGTGTTTTTGAAAAAATGTATATTGATTTGAATACTTTTACTTCTTATTTCCTTTTGCAATATATTTATTATACTAAATGTTTCTTTTGATTTTTCCTAATTGTTCTATCATACACCTTCTGTGATGTTCATATTTCTGACAGACCAAAATGACATGTTCTATTGTTTCCTCCTGTCCACAGTGTTCACATTGTCCTGTATCATGTTTCTGAATCTTGTGTAGTGTGTTGTTAAGTCCTGTATGTCCAAATCTTAATCTGGTTATTAGTCTTCTTCTCTTCTGTTCCTCCCTCCTGTTCTCATTTCTCCCACTTGTCTCTGAATTCTGTAGTACCATCTTCCTTTGTGCTCTTCTCCCACTGTTTTTGCCATTTTTCCTTTAGTTTTTGTTTCACTATGGTTCTTACTTCTGATTTACTGATGGATATTGTAAAATTGATTTGATCTTTTGCTGCCCTGTCTGCTGCTTCATTCCCTCTAACCCCTAGATGTGCTGGTGTCCATAAAAATATCACCGTCAGTCCCATCATTTGTATTCTGAATAATGTTTGTTGTAGTTCTAGTAAAATGTCCGGTCGGCTATCTGAATGACTATTTTTCAAACTGATGAGTGTTGAGCTCGAGTCTGAACAGATGATTGTTTTTAACGGTCTTGTGTCTTCTACCCACTGCACTGCCAACATCTCCCCTGTGTACACGGATACTTCATTTGTGATTCTTTTCCTTACTTCTATGTTGAATTCTGGTATTTTAAATATGACACTCCTACTTTCTCTGATGTTTTTGATGCATCTGTATAAATCTGTATATAGTTATAGTAGTTATTGATATGGTCCTGTACTGTATACGAGTTAAAAATAAATGTTCTGTCTTTTTTCTTGTCCATGAGTGTCAAGTCAACTGATGCATTTGGAAGAAGCCATGGTGGTATTGTTGGTACTGGTACTACTGGGCTGATGTCTAAGTTGTCTATTTGCATTTCTTTTGTTTTCTGGTCTATTGTCCATCCAAAACTTCTTGTCTCTTTCTTCTCCGTCTCCCAGCGTGGTTTTAAAATATCTAATGTTGGGTGTTCCGGGTTATTTCCTTTAAGATTGATCCAGTAGTTTATTGCTAATTGTTCTCGTCTTATTGCTAACGGCATTTCTCCCATTTCTACTCCAAGTGCTGCTGCTGGGGTGGTTTTGAATGCTCCTGTACACAGTCTTAATGCTTGGTGTTGTATTTTGTCCAGTTTCTCCAAATGTGTTTTTGCTGCTGATCCATAAATTACACAACCATAATCCATATTTGATCTGATAAGTCCCGTATATATTTGTTTTAATGCCGTTCTATCTGCACCCCATTCATTCCCAGCTAAGCATCTCATAATGTTTAAGACTTTTTTACATTTATCAATAATCTTTTGTATATGAACATTCCATATGATTTTCTCATCAAACCATATACCCAAATATTTTATACACTTAACTTGTTCTAGTTCTTGATTATATAATTTCAATTTAATCTCTTCGGTGACTCTTTTCTGTGTAAATATCATTACTTTTGTTTTATCTACTGAAAATTTGAATCTCCAATCATTTGCCCATTTCTCAGTTTTTAATATCGCCTCTTGTATTTTCTTCACAGTGAATTTTATATTTTTCCCTCTTTTCCAAATGGTTCCATCATCTGCAAATAACGAACATTCCACCCCCTTCTCAATCTCTGTAAAAATATCATTTATCATTATAGAAAATAGTAATGGACTTATAATACTTCCCTGTGGTGTTCCGTTTTCCACAAAGTATTTATTTGAATATTCTTGTTGTATTCTTACTTGTATCGATCTTTTTGTTAAAAAGTTTTGTATCCATCTGAACATTCTTCCATTAATTCCTAGTTTGTACATTTTAATTAATAATCCTTCAGCCCATAACATATCGTACGCCTTTTCTATGTCGAAGAATACGGCCACCACACTTTCTTTATTTATCTGTGCTCTCCTGAGCTCGTGTTCTAATTGTAATGTTGCCTCATTAGTGTTCTTCCTTTTCTAAAACCACTTTGATATTTAGATATGTATCCCTTACTGTTCATATAATACGTTAGTCTATCATTGATCATTTTTCCATTATTTGACATATATTTGATGTTAATGCTATTGGTCAGTAATTTTCCGGCTTTGTATGATCCTTTCCTGGTTTTGCTGTTGGTACGATGACTGATTCTTTCCAGCTTTGTGGTAGCTCCCCCTCTTCCCACACTTTGTTGTATAGTTCTAAAATTATTTCTTTGGATTTTTCACTAAGGTGGTCTATCATGGTGAACCATATCTGATCTTTTCCAGGTGCTGTTTGTTTGGTTTTCCTGAGTGCTCGACTCAGTTCTGCTTTTTGAAAAGGTTCGTTCAATAAATTATCAGTTTCTTCCATATTCTTAATTAAATCTTTGTATTTTAACTTTGTAGTTTCCCTCCCTCTCTTTCCTTCATTACTAATATTATTGGAACTATGAATTTTACTAAATGTTGTTGCTATTATTTCAGCTTTTTCTTTATCGTTTACTACTGCTGTGCCATCTACATTTAATCCTGGATATCCATATTCTTTTTGATGCCATTCATTCTTTTGATCATTTTCCAGATTTTTTCAATTTTTGTTTCTTTTCCAATAGTATTACAAAAGTTTCTCCAATATTCCCTCTTTGCATTCTTGATGATTTTTCTTACCATTGCTTGTTTTCTTTTATATTCGATGAAGTTCTGATAACTAGGATTTCTTTTTAGTGCTTTAAATGCTTTATTTCTTGTCTTTATGGCTTTGTTACATTCATTTGTCCACCAAGGTACTATCTTCTTTTCGCTCGTTCTTCCACCTTTTTTATTGACTGTTCTGTAGCTTCCTGTATAATCTTGCATATACAAACATTAACTTTATTACTGTCTGTTGACAGATCAATTTTCTGTAGCTCTCCATCAGTAATATATTTGAATTTGTTCCAGTCTGCTTTATTAAATAGCAACTTTCTATTTCCTTCTACTGTGTTCTGCTCTGGTTTTATGCCTATTGAAATTTTTATAGGATAATGATCACTACCCATTACTGTGCTTTTATAAACGTCCCACATACAAACTCCAGCTAATGAATTAGATACAAATGTAAGATCAATTGCTGACTCCGCTCTTGTTCTAACATTTATTCTTGTTCCCCTCCCATCATTAATACATACAAGGTTTTTAGTTTCCATCACTTCTTCCATTATTTGTCCATTTCTATCATTACTTTCCTCCCAAAAAGTACTATGTGCATTAAAGTCCCCACACCACAACACTTTCCCATCCACGTATTGTAACACCTCCTCCATCACCTCAAGTGACAGTGCTCTGCATGGGTTATAGACATTTATTATCTTATACTTTCCTTCTTCTCCCCATATTTCCACTATTATATATTCTAATTCCATTCCTTTTTTTAATATCTGATATTGAATTCCCTGTTTTATGAATGTTCCACATCCTCCTCCATTTCCTTCCTTTCTATCTCTTCTTATGCTATTATATCCTTTGATAACAAACTCCAAATGTGATTTTAACCACGTCTCTTGTATGCATATGATTTCTGGTTTTTCATCAAGTCCGTTAATATAACCTTTAAGTTCCTGTCCATTAGCAATTAAACTTCTAGCATTCCATTGTAATATAATCATATATTGTCACCTGGTGTTCCTGGTCTTCCATCAGCTTCCAACCTTTTGTTAATGTTTTCCCAAGATCCCTCTTTGAACCCCAAACATTTTTCAGCTCCTCTCACAATTATTTTAATTTTCTCTGTTTCATGTTTGGCCTGGTCAGTGCAGTTTATGACATATGCTATGAATAATATCAGGTTTTCAACTGGCATTGTGATGTTTTCCTCTGTTTGCTGTTTACTGGTACTTTGTTGTGGGTTCTGGTTCTGTTTGTCCTGTCGCTCTTGTCTTTTGTTCTTTGACACTTTTGACTGCCTCTGCATATGTGGTGTTTTTACTTATTTTCACCTGTTGGATTTCTTTTGCTGTTTTCCTCACTTCACACCCTCCATATGTAACTATGTTGTCCTCCACAGTTGCAACACTTCTCCTTTTCTTCATTACATTCTTCTATTCTGTGATCTTCTCCACACTTTGGACACCTCTGTTTACCTTTGCACGCTACTGCAATGTGTCCATATCTCTGGCACTTGTAGCAGCGGAGTGGTGGTGGGATGTAAGGCCTAACTTGAAAATTCAAATAACCTATTTTTATGTTTGCTGGTAAGGTTGTCTCATCAAACTCAATCATAATTGATAAACTTCCTACTCTTTCCCCATTAACAGTTCTTGATAGTCTCTTCAAGTTGTTTACTTGTGCACCAACAATGTTCTTTTTTATTTGATCTAAATCTTCATCCACTGGGATCCCGTAAATAACTCCGCGAACCGTTTTGTTTTCTCCCATTATCTTTCTTTCCATGACCATTCTTTTACAGATGTTCTCGACGTGCAAAGCCTTATTTTTTGTTCTTCAGTTTTACATGATACTAATAAATTTCCATCTCTTAACACCTTCACCATTTCTACATCCCCAACTTTATTTTTTATTTCTTTTGATATCAAAGTGGGGCTTATGTTACCCTGCCCTTCCTCATTTTTTAGTTTAATATTATTTTAAATTCATCCCTCACTACTTTTCTTCTTACTACCCTTTCTACATCAGAGCTGCTCCCTTTCAACTCCCTTTTATTGCTCTGGCTGTCATTTGTCCCATCCTCCATTTTATTTCTTCCGCGTCCTCTCCCTCCCGGTGTCCACCCCTCAACATCCATGTCTGCCTCGTCTCCTACCTGTTTTTCCATCCGAACCATTCACATACCAGTTTATGCCAATTTCCTCCTGTTTCAAAGTCCAAAAAATTGTTAAATATCGATAATCCGTCAAAAAATGTTTTAAATTCTGCGCCCAACAGCTTCCTCCGACCCGATCCTGAGTCCGGCTACCCAGCCTCCTCCTCTGCCTCGGAGTCTGAAACCCTACTGAGTCGTGTCTACCAATCCTTAGTCCACCTCTAAAAAGTTCACCTCCACTTATTATTCTAAATTAGAAGCAGCTGTTTGAGGTGGTTAGCTGCATAAAGACACCTGTCCACCCCACACAGTCAGTAAGACTCCAACTACTAACATGGCTAAGACCAAAGAGCTGTCCAAAGACACCAGAGACTAAATTGTAGACCTCCACAAGGCTGGAAAGAGCTAGGGGGCAATTACAAGCAGCTTGGTGAAAAAAGATCAACTGTTGGAACAATTATTACAAAATGGAAGAAGATAAACATGACTGTCAACCTCCATCGGACTGGGGCTCCATGCAAGATCTCACCTCGTGGTGAAGCAGAAGACCATGGAGAATGTTGTTTATCGCACAAGGCAGCTGGCGGCTTCGTATGACCTAAGAGAAATGCTCGTTTGTTTGTTCTGCGCTGTACTCCACTTCCTGCCCTGCGCTGTACTCCACTTCCTGC